TAGTCTGGTGCTTACCCCCTTGTGCCACAGGGAGGCCCTAAAAATTTTTTTTTAATGGAAATGCATCTTAAAATGAGTCATAGCACATTATCTATGAATCAATATGATTTATGGTCATAATAAACCTGTAGAGTATCAATTCTATTCATATTTTCATATTTATGAATTTAATATAGATGAAAATTTATTCCTATAAAGTGAAGATAGAATAGAAATTTTATCATAACAAAAATAACTGAAATTTTTCAATTTCTTCTGACCTAAAACTACGTATCCCCTATTATCAAATAATATTTTTAATAATCTTTCTTAGTTGAATTTCAATAGGTCTATCTCAAATTCTGTTTAAAAACAAGAAAAGGAGGGCCTCCCCTGGTGGTGCAGGCAGTCGAGCACAGCGCTGTGAAGCTGTCCACAGCCTCTGCAGCGCCAGTTTGATTCCTGGCTGGCCAGTGAGGGTCCCATATGGCACAGCAGACCTCTCCTGTTTCACCCGCTGCTCCCCTCAGCAGTGTATTTCGCCAGTCTGCCTGTTCTGTTGCCAGATTTGTCTCTGGTGAATCCTCTCACCCTCCCGCGGATCTGGCATGTACCCTGGTTCTTGTATAAATAAATAAATCTTAAAAAAAAAAAAAAAGATATCACCCATCACTAAAGTTACTCATTTCCTCAATTTCTGCGATGTTTACAATGGTCATTTCTCGAATCGATCCCGGCTGTTAGGACAGTTGCTCTCAGCAGTGTACTGCTCCCCACTGTGGCTCTGGTGAAATTCTGACTGTACCCAGTGCATGTAATTAATAAATAAATAAACATGCCTCTATTAAAAAAAAAAATAATAAAATAAAAAAAAACAATAAAAGGTCAGTATTTTCTCTCAATCAGAAGCTTCTTGTTTATCCTAAGACAATGAGATTGGGCAAACCAAAATGCTGTTAATCTCAAAATTCCTTCTCAAAAAAAAGTGTAAATATTTTTGTTATATTTCTGGAAAAAAAAAAAAAAAGCTCAGAGCTCAAGATTTACTCTAGTTAGTTACAGGAAAGTAAATGTCCACCATATTACATAAATGGCAAATCAGTTGTCAGTGCCAAACCAATCGGCCAATGGAAGCTTATTTTTTCAGCAAGTCATGACTTTAATTTTCCAGTTTTAATAAATGTTAGTAAGTACCCAAATGCCCACTCATTTCTGCATTTTAATTCTAAACCTGTGATAAGCCACAGACCATTGCATGAGCTGGTCATTTGGATGAAACAGGCACTGCCCCCTTCAGCATTTCTCTTCTGCTCTTAGCTCAGGAATGCTATTCTTTAATAATGAGCAGAGAACAAAAAGGCCAGATCATATAATGAAAATGTTTACCATTTTGGTAATTCAGAATACTCCAACACAGGTCAATTTTTAACAAGCGGCATTACCCTTAAGAGTTACACATATAAGTGTAAGACTTATAGTCTAAAAGAAGGGAATGGTGCTTCCATAACCTTATCCCCAACTAACCCTCCCACTGCCCTTTTTCCACATGACCTTGGCCCCACAATGCCCTCTGGCTACACCTCTAGCTAAAACCCAAAATGATGAAACAATGGATTCTAAGAATAATTCATCTTCTCAGATTCTTTCCAGAACAATTATTCCTAAAAAAGACAAACCCCAGGTAACTCCTCCCTGCTCTAATAAAATGTCCCACCTTTTCCCTCCCAATTAGAATGTTCCTTTGACTTCCTTTCTCATGCCTAGCATTTTGTAATAAAGGCTTATTCTTTGCTCTGGTTGATTTTCTTGCATACAAGATAGGGAAAGAGAAGCAGCCCTACTTAATGCTTTAATTAATGGACGTTTCACTTAACACCAGTAATTGAAATAACCCTTTTTCCTGGAGAATTTTCTACCTTTCTCTCCAGGGCAATACACCACAAAAGCACTCATGAGACATGACAGCACATCTTTCTTCTGCAAGGCAGAAGAAAGGCAATTGTGAACAGGATGTGGGGAAGAGAAGCAGCACACTGCTTTGCAAAGAAGCTTTGTCAGGAAAGAAACATGGAAGTTGAGAATATGGAAACTGATTCCTGTAGAATCACTTGTATACTAAAGTTTATATAGCACTCGTTTAGTGTGATTAGAGCAAAAATTATAAGAAAAAAGTCATCTATCTGCAGTATTCTATTAAACAGCAAAATCAGACCCACAAATAAAGAAGCTAAGGGAGTTATCACACAGCAAATAATAAGTACTTTCAAAGTATTTACAGAAACTGGAGTGTTAAAAGAATATGGTAACAAAAGACTAACTACAATAATTTGAAATCAAAAAAGAACATCTAGGAATAAAATATGAAAGTAGGAATAAATGTATTATACAATAGGACATATGAAGAGAACATAGAACAAGGCACAGAGAGATAAAGGGAGGAAAACTGTGAAAATGACACAAACAAGTTAAAGGAGTAAAGTTCAACATATAGCTAATCAAAATTTCACTACAGAATAGGTAGTAGAGACTCAATACCTGAACAGATTAGCAGTAAATTCCCAGAATTTATAAGACAACCAACCAGAAGTTCAGAAAGTCAAAATCTCAAGGTACATAAAAATAAATCAAGGCCTAGAAAATCAGAAAGTCAGTCATAAAGCAGAAATTGATAAATTACTATTTTAAAATTAAGGACTTAGAACATCAAAGGACTTCACAGTGACAAATCAGGTCATGAATTTGAAAAAGAAATTGCAATGCATGTAACAAAGGATTATTAGTGTCTAGGTTATTAAGAAAATAAGTATTTCAAAAGTGAATCACAAATGGTTAGTGAACATATGAAGAGATGCTCAAACTCCCTGACTCAAGGGTTTGCAAATTTTAATCCAGTAAGAAACCCATTCACACCCATCACATTAGCAAAAAGTCATTGTAGTAATGTTACACATGATGTCTACAGTAGTGTTCACTTTACCATTCCCAAAACTCTATACATACAGTATATATGTTCTTTAAAATGTCTGTGTTATATAAAAGTGTTTTTAATGCTATTTGGACTCAGCAATGAAAGTGTTTGTGACTCTGGCGAAAGGAATTTCAGTGAAATTACTGGCATAAAAACCATACTGTAATGGGCTGAAAAGATTCAGTAAGATAAGGATGTATAGACAACCTCAATTATTTCAAACTTATTTATACAACATATTAAAAAACTGTGTGTGCAGACAGGTCGGTAACTTACAGTCTGACATCCCTTAGGGGGATGTCATAGTGACAACTTCTTTTATTTTTTAAATTTTTTTAAAATAAAGAAAACCAAGGCATGTTTAGAAAAAGAGCAAGAGAGAGGATAATGACACAGGATATAAAGGGCTCCTGGGTAGTCACAAAGGTGTATAACAGAGCATCCATGAATTAGTTTATTCCATGAATAGGGATTAGTTTGACACAGGAACAAGGGTTCCTATTTCATTGTTATAAGAAAACTCTATGCACTCCATTTACAATTGTCTCTTCAATCCTCTTTAATGCAAGCCTCTGACTCAGGACTTTTGTACTTAACAATTCCCTTTTTGGAGAATATACTTTTCCAGATGAAGCAAGGCCTGCATTTTACTTCTTTCAAGTCTTTGCTCAGAAATGAACTGAGTGAAGCATTTCCTGATCACTTTGAAAGTGAAATCCCCTACAAAACCCCCCCCCCCCCATTAGTGCTAGTCCTCATTCTCTCTCCTTTTTATTTTACTTCATAACCTTCTAATATTTGATATAATATACCCATTGTATTGTTTGGTAAACTCTGTAAATACAGGAAATGTAGCCAAACCACCACATAATATTTGATCCATACAGAAGTTCAATAAATACATGCTGAATGGATGATTCATGATCCCTGCTTGAGGAACCTGAAGAACAAGTGTAACAGAATTAACATTATAAGACTTGAGCAAAATAAGAGAAAGCCTAGAGACCAATTCACTACCTACTTCTGACACTGAGTTAGATGAACAATGAGTTGCATCTGATTACACAGGTGATATTTGAGTTAGCCGGCCAAGTGGAGAACAGGTAGACATTCTAAGAAAACAGAAGTTGGCAAGGCCTGAACATGTGAGAAATGCAAATGAGATACATCTGGAGTAGCAGGGATGACAAGACATCAATTTTAGCTTAACCTTGTAATGTATACAACGGGAGATACATTATATCAGTTTCTCAACTCTAAAAACCCTTGAGAGTAGTTGCAGTTGCTCGGTCACTTGTTTTATTTGCAGTAAAATTATAATACGGAACGTAAAATAAAGTATATATAAAACTGCTGCAGCTCCTCTCTCCACCACAAAGGAAAATGTTTGACCAAGCTTATCCGTGTTTACTATCAACTGCAGATTATATGTATCACAATCAATCCTAGTGAGCGTATTACTTCCAAAGGTCTCACCCTAGGAAAAGTTCATCGGTGGGAGAGCAGTTTGTATGCAAAAGGGAAAATGGTCAAATGCAAGTGATGGTAGGAGACACTTCTTTTAACCATTTATGAGTTTCTGAGTAAGTCTGCGTGTTACAATTAAGCTGAAATTACTGTTTACAGCTAGTCTGTCTTCCTTTTATCCACATCCCTCCAGTCTGTGATTCTCATCACCTTTGTTTCAACGCGAACTCATACTCAAGCACCCAGGTTGTTTTGGGGATTCCCTGGCTGAGACAGGAGGCTCTTGCGTAGACACAGAAAGGCACCGGGCAGCCGTGCCAGAGTTCATCGGCCCATGGACTCAGTTTAGGCACATTTACGCTCGAGAGAGGAGGCACAGTGGGCACCATGATGCTTTTAGAGTTCTGCCTTTCGGGAGCAGGAGGTCGGGATTTTTTGAGAAGCGCGGAGTCCCGAGGTGTTCTCAGGCCCCGCCAGAGGTCAGAGCTCAAATCTAAAGCCGGGGGGCGGGGCCTACCCCCCAAACCAAGGGGTGATGCGTGAGCCCGGAGGGTAAGGAGACGCGGGGTGACTCAAAAAGACTCACAGTAATAGGCCACCACAGGGTCCCGCTTGTCATGCTCCTGAGCCGTCCTCAGATGATGCTGTATGCTCTTAAATTGTGGGGGGAGTGGGGGTAGCGGAGCAAGCGCCGCCATCTCCACTCCAGGGATCACCACTTCCTACTCGCGCTCCACCGACATTTCCGCTTCCGTCTGGAGCGTCGCGCGCAGGATCGCGCAAGGCAAGTCCCGCCCACTCCCCCCGTTGCTCAGCGACAGCAAGTCAACTACGGGTTCTCATCAGGGACAATCTCTGTGTGCCAGCGCTTAGTGGTTACTACGCCTTTGACACCCGCGCCCTCTGCTGGTGGAAAGAGGAGACACTGTTTTTCACTTTTTTTGTTTGATTCTTGGGAACAAAAGGAAGGATAAGAAAAAAAAAAAAAAAGAAAGGGAAAAGAAGAAAATAATGTTTATTGATTAAGAAAAAAGGGTGAAGTGCTGGTGTCACCATTCAGAAGCTATTGTTTCCAATTCTGATATTAATAATGTCTGTAAAACCTTTCTGATGCTAGAAACTCCTTATTTTTTAAGATTTATTTATTTACACATACAAGAACTAGGGTACAAGCCAGAGTGGGGGTGTGTGTGAGAAGATTCACCAGAGACAGAGTGGGGAACAGAACAGGCAGAATGACTGAAATACACTGCTGAGGGGAGCAGCGGGCGAGTCAGGAGAGGTCTGCTGTGCCATGTGGGTCACCTCCCTGGCTGGGGATTAAACTCATGCTGCAGTGGCTGCAGATAACTTCACAGGTTGCGTCTTAACCCCTTGCACCACCAAGGAGGCTCATGACGCTAGAAACTTTTATTGCAGTTCTTGGGTAGGGTGAAAGAGGATGTGTTTGTATTTTGACACATTGAATAGGATAACCATGCTTTTTTATAACCTGAACACTAAACATATTAAGCTTCAAGTAATTAGAACTTTTGTTCCCATCTGTATATGTTTTAGTGAGAATGATGGAGGATAAGAATAGAAAAACTGGAAAGGAAGCATCACAAAACTCACACAAGGAGGTGGGGTAGAAGTGATTAACATAGCCATTAATGCAGCTATAAAAACTATCAACTGCTGTAGGGAATGTCAGGAGCACAGGCCTAAAAGTGAAGACATGGAGATTAAGGAATAAATCATCCACCCACAAACATGATAAAACCTAATGCTCCCTCCTCTCCCCTCCCCCGCAAAGGGGCAGCAGTCCTTTTGCTTACCTGTGACTATGCAGGTGCTTCTTTTCACCAACTCTCTCCCTCTTCAGGGCAGCAACTCCCTGCCTGCCTGTGACCTGCACCATGCCTCAGTGGAGGCAGCTCTCCTCAAGGCCACCTGCCTGCGACCATGCCGACCTCTCTCAGCAAACCTGTCCCTTTCAGGGCAGCTCTTCCTGCCCACTTGTGTCTATACAAGTGTCCTTTATTCTTCTGTTCCCTTTCCTTAATAAACCTGCTCTTTTAAATATAACTAATATCTCTGTCTTGTGGAGAACCTTACCCTAAGCTGCTGAAAGGGGCGCTCTGGTGAAACCTTTCCCAGAGTGAACCCAAGAAACCTGCTCTCCAAACCCACTGACTCCAAAAATGACATCACGTGCATAATCAGTAGGTCATTTATTACTGGCAAATGATGCACAATTTGCAAAGTATTTCGACATTTTGTCAATGTGTAACAGGGTGGTCCCCAGGAAAGGGGGAGGTTCCGGGTTTCCTGTCCCACCCAAGGGAGGGTGGAGCTGAGCAGGGAGAGAAGAAGCTGCAGAGGAGACTGAGGAAAGGAGAAAGCAGGATGGATCCAGAAGGAGACCTGGAGGAGGCTCATGGAGCAGAGAGACACGTGAAAAACTGCGCTTGCCTTTTGGTTGTGGACTGGGTGACACAGATGTGGATGAGACCCGTGGGGAGGTGACAATGGTGGTTTTTGTCTTGATTTTGCTCTTTTCCTTCCGGACTTGTCTGGTTGTTTCTGATCCTTTTCTGTGGGTCCCCACTGGAAGATTCTTTAGACTTGTGGCAGGTTTTGGGGCCTTGCTCTGGGCCAATCCCATTTGGGTGGACTTTAACCCACGAGAGGATGGGTAACTTGATTTAGAAACTGTATTCTTTGCCTTTCCTGTATTGTTTCCTAATTGTATTAAAGTTCCCTCCCATTAAAGTCTCATATGTTCTTTGATGATGTGGCGGACGGCAGAACCTATTTAGAACAGGCAGGTTTGCGGGGTCTGGGCTGCCTCCCTCCCTGCCCTGTAACAAATGCATAAAGAAGGTGTTCAGGTAACCTTCCTGTTCAATGCTGCTGACTCATGTCACATGTAGACTTCAACTTTCCTTTATACCATCAATGACTTCCATTTTTTCATCTATATATCTCATACTATCATCTTTCAGAAATTTACACTTTATTTTCCTCCTCCTCCTAAAACCTTCATCTTTATTTATTGCATCTCTTTGTTTTCAGAGTTCATGATAAACCTAGTTTTAATTGAACTAATGAGCTAGCCTAGGTAAGAGAAATTGCAATCAGGGAGGATGAGTTGCCCCATGTCCTGTTTGAACAAGTGGACTAAATCATGGACTGGCTCCTCCTGCCAAATAATTTGCCCCCCCCCCGCACTGACCATGAGATGTCATGATGAATAAAAAGCATTAGATCCTGACTAATGATTATCTCACAATTTCCTCGAGGAAGAAAGTTGAGAGTCCACACTCACAGCTGGAATATGACACATTTGTGTGTTCCCCTGGCACAGCCCAAGCCAGAGCAGGATATGACACTGTTCGGCTCCTCTGGCCTTGCAGACCTAAGGGTGGTGGTGTAATTTTGGGGTGAGGCCAGAGGTGTGGGGGTGAAAGAATTTACCAGAGATGGAGTTGAGAACAGAAATACCCTGCAGGGGACCAGGGAGCGACATGGGAGATATTTATCTGTACAGGAAGGATTTGAAGCTTTATGTCCTGTTTTTTGCAGGCTTTCTTACTTGCAGTGCCAATTTGCACTAGTTATCTGATGGGATATCTGGTCTTGGGCATTGGCTTTTGACACAGAATGTGTCCTGGCCCTGCTTCTGCTGGACTGGACTTTCTGACCATCGTGGTCAGTGTTATGGCCACGTTCCCAGGGCAACTTTGATTCCCTTATCTATTCAAGCCCCCCAAAGCTGCCTGCTGGGCAAGGAGTGGAGGGTAAGTTTTTAACCTTATTAAATGCTACCCTGACACTACCTTTGAATATCTCCTCCTAACTCTCTTTGGGAGCTCATGCTGTGCTCCCTCATGCATGAATCTCTCCAATAAAGCCTTGCCTGGCTCACCTACATCTAGTGAACTCTGGTGAATGCTTTCCCTAGAGGGCAGAGGACATTACTCTTTTGGATTGGGGCCCTGTGACACCCACACTTTCCTCAAATAAACAAGATCTCAAGTTTATCTACTATTCTCTAATCCGCCCACCTCCAAACCCAGCAGCAACGGCTCTATGCATGTGTATTACTCCCACTCCACTGCCTGTCTAGGCCTGTTCTAAGAGTCCATCACCTACCTAACCCAGGGTCTGGCTTTTTTACCCAGAAAACTGTGCCGAATTCTTCTGAATCTCAGCAACACATTCACTAACACTTGACTGCATATAGTATGAACTTAATATTTGTGTTCCTCCAAACCTGCATGTTGAAATCAAGTATATAATGTGATATTAGGAGGAAGAGTCATTGGGAGATGATTAGGTGAAGAGGGCAGGTCCTCATGAATGGGAGCCATAGTTTTATAAGAGATATCACAGAGAGCCTCCCTAGTGGCGCAGCGGGTTCAGCACCGTGCTGTGAAGCTGTCTGCAGTGCGGGTTCGATCCTGGCCTGGCGAGAATCCCACTTGGCGCGGCAGACCTTTCCTGTCACCCCCGCTACTCCCCACAGCAGTGTATTTCTGTCGTCTGCTTGTTCTGCTCCCTGTTCTGCCTCTGGTGAATCCTCTCACTCTCCCGTGCCTCTGGCCTATACCCCAGCTCTCATAAAATAAATAAATTAAAAAAATTTTTTTAAAATAAATTTTATTTTTATATTCCCCATACAATTGCAACCCCCCCATTCTGATCCCAATCCCTCCCCTCCCACCCCCACCCCCCAAAAGTGTCTCTGTTTCATAGTTTTTTGTTGATTCTGATTTTCACTTTCTTATAGTTATTCATTTTCCTGGTCCCTTATTTAAGTTTTCTAGATTCCTGCTATGAGTGAGACCATCCGGTATTTTTCTTTTTCTTTCTGGCTTATTTCGCTGAGCATGATCCCTTCCTGCGCCATCCATGTTGCTGCACATTGCATGTGTTTCTCTTTTTTGAATGCTGAGTAATATTCCATGGTGTATATGTACCACATCTTCTTGATCCAGTCATCTATTTTTGGGCATTTGGGTTGTTTCCAAAGCTTAGCTATTGTAAACAGTGCTGCTGTAAACATAGGGGTGCAGGTGTTCTTTGGAATTGATGTTTCTGTGTCCTTTGGGTAAATACCTAGGAGTGGAATTGTTGGATCATATGGAAGCTCTATGTTTAGTAGGTCCAGAAATCTCCACACAGCTCTCCATAGTGGTTGGACCAGTTTGCACTCCCACCAACAGTGCAGAAGAGTTCCTTTTTCTCCACACCCTCGCCAACATTTGTTTTTGCTAGTTTTTTTTAATATGTGCCATTCTCACTGGTGTGAGATGGTATCTCATGGTAGTTTTGATTTGCATTTCCCTGATTACAAGTGATGTTGAACATTTTTTCATATGCCTGTTGGCCATTTGCATTTCTTCTTCAGAGAAGTTTCTTTTTAGCTCTTCTGCCCATTTTTTGACTGGATTATTTTCTTTGTTGTTGTTGAGTCTCATCAGCTCTGTGCAGGTTTTTGTGATCAGTCCTTTATCATTAGTGTTGGGTGCAAAAATGTTCTCCCAGTTGGTGGGGTTTTTCTTTGTTTTTGTTATTGTCTCTTTTGCTGTGCAGAAGCTCTTTAATTTGATGTAGTCCCAGCTGTTTATCTTTGCCTTCACTATCACTGCTTTGAATCCAACAATGTATCCATAAGATAATTCACCACGACCAAGTAGGATTCATTCCAGGGACACAAGGATGGTTGAACATCCGAAAATCAATCAACGTTATCCAACACATCAACAAAAAGAAATATAA